AGAGAGAGAGAGAGAGAGAGAGAGAGAGAGAGAGAGAGAGAGAGAGAGAGAGAGAGAGAGAGAGAGGAGGGCCGAATCTAATCAATCAACCAATCCACCACAGATTCATCAATTGATTTGTCAATTGGTTAATTGATTTCTCGCTCTCTTTTCTAGTCGTTCTCGTAAGTGCGTGCAAGGGTGGGAACAAAATGCAGAGAGAGAGAGAGAGAGAGAGAGAGAGAGAGAGAGAGAGAGAGAGAGAGAGAGCACGCAATATATGACTACCTGCCTATGGGTTCTTCCGACAAGCCTGCTCCCTGCGTGGTCAGCGGTTCGAACCACACGTCAGAAATCGGACGATGGCATTTATAGAGAGGCCGGTGCAGATCCGCCCACCTTCCACGTGTCAACCGGGCATTCCTGGTAGTAAGTGAGGAGATTGGATGCCGTGGATTCTGCCACGTCAACGGCTGGATAGCACATCCTTCTTAGAAAGGGATTGGAATTGGGAGAGGGAGAGGGAGAGGGAGGGGGAGGGGGAGGAGGCAGGAGGCAGCAGCAGGACGCCATCAGCGCCGCTGCGAAGGAGAAGCAGAAGAAAAGAACAGACGAAATCGAACACACAAAAAGAGAAGGAAAGGCAAAAAGACCGCTCTTTTTCCTTGAAACATCATTTCGGTGGGACCTCACTACCCGGGTTGGTAGGAGAATCCCCAGTACTGACGCACCCAGCGACCAACCGCCCATCATTGTTGAAGGCCCGGTGGGTGGGTGGGTGGGGGGTGTCACTGGTTTGTGTGCCATCCTTTCGAAACTCCATATGTCTACTTGTGTGATTGTTATGACTGGTTTGTGTGCCATTTTTCCATCTTCAATTTCTTTTCACGACCCCTCTCCGCTGCCGCCAGAATTACGCTCTCGACAACATATAAAGTAGATTTGCAGGGGCAGAAACACCCCCCCCCCCCCCCCACCCCCCCCCCCCCCCCCCCCCCACACACACACACACACTCCCAACGAGGTACAGAAAGCCAACGAGCCCCGCTAGTCCTAGTCCAGCAGCAGCATTTGAACTTGTGATCTGTTTACCGACAGGCGATTCATCCTCTGTAGATTTTTTTATTTTTATTTTTTTGGTAGGATTTTTTGCTAGCCCGCTAATGAATCTAGACCGTTGAAAAGGAGCTCCAGATCTCACGAAGCATGCTTTCATCCCTCTTGAAGTCCTTTTCAGGAGAGCGGACGAAGAGTGAATACAGCTTGTTTCTCTTGCATGTGACGGTGATGAGGCTGTGTTCCCCAGCGGTAGAGAACTCGTAGTCGTAATACACCTGCCCCTGCGCGTCCGTCCTTTCGCCGGTGCTTATCTCCTCTGCTTCGGCAAGGGCGTCCTGTAGCGACACGTCAGACAATGCCAGATTGTTCAAGATGGCCTCTTTGGGGCCAAGCTTTGGCACCCCACCCAGGTAGGTAAGGTACACCTTTTCGGACCTCTTCTTAGGGTTATAGAACTCGCTGTCTGTGCCGTTGGTTCCTTTCTCGATCTTCGAAACGACGTGCTCCTTCCACGTGGCAGGCACCTTGTACGTGTACTCAGCTTCGCTCTGCTTGCTGGCGTTCCCACCATAACCACCATAGCTGGCAGCTGCCGCGGCATTTCCGAAATACACGCGGAACGACGTGGGATCTGCAGCTTCGGCATCCTCGGCCGCCATAGCCATCGAGAGGAAGACGCCCTTTGCACCTGCTGCTGACTCAGGCAAGGGCGATGGCAAACCACATGTGGTCCCCACCACCGATGACGCTATCAACAGGCCGAGGACCTCTCGCCTGGAGGAAGCAGCAGCCACATCAGCCGCCTCCTCCTCCACCTTGCACCGTGCTGCCACGTGGCAAGGTCCGCGTCCGCCACGTCGGTGGGATTTGCCAGCTGTCATCAAAGGGGTCGGCGAGACGATGGGATGGAAGGTGCGCCATGTGGTCAGGGACCTCGTGCGATCATCGGCCGACACAAGGGAGGGCTCTGCAGTGCCCACCGCGCAGGGGGCGCGCAGAGTCGCCGAGGAAAGCGCTTGGCATGCCATGCTGGCCCGAGTCGGGTCACACGTGGACAGTTCGGTTTTTGAAGGAGGGGGGGGCGGGGGGGGGGACGCAAAAGATATCCCGCCTAAGGGAAGATGACCCCTCAAAAGGAAATGATGGCCCTCCTAACAGAAGACCACAGGGGAGCTTCTACATAATACTCCCCCCTCCTCGGCAAATGTGTGGGGTCTCGGGAAAGGTGGAAAAGACGGAAAGGGGGGCCACACCGTGCAAGGGCCTCGTTCCACCACTCACCAAATGTGGGAAACGAGAATGAATCTTGGGCTAGAACATGGAAAGATACACCACCATAGTTTTTGTCGTTTGTGTAAGTCACGAGGGGTGGATTGGAGGACCCAAACTGGATAGATAACCGCGGAAGCCAGGCTGAAGGAAGGGGCCCTGGAATGGGAGGTGGCAGCAAAAAAAAAACAAGAGTGGAACAGAAGGGTGGCCTGCCAGGGCCAGGGGCACGCAGGCAGTGGTAGCAGGGGTAAAGTGAGAGTGCATGGTGATGACTAAGTTCAGAGTCCTGTGAAGAGAGATTCTTTTTTTTTTTTTTTTTTTTTTTTTATTATTATGTGAAGAGAGATTCTGAGATACACAATAATACAAATTCTGCATCCAGGGTGGGGGTTCAATGTCAGGGCCGTAGGAGTGGGAAAATAAAGAGCTTTTTAGCGATGACCCCCAGCGTCTCACTGAGATACGGTAGGCCCTACCGGTAGCAAAGCATTATCTGAGAAACCAAACTGAGGGGTAGGCCCTATACCCTGTTCACCCAAATAGAACGCCCAGTCATTGTCACTATAACTGGACCGAAAGCTGCCCTGAATACAGCTATAATAACCTTGCATTATCACTATAATAACTAGGATGAAAGTTGCCCTGAATACAGCTGTTCGAATGAAGACGGTAGCAACAAACTCCTCTTTCGAAAAACTGCCGTTCAAATTTCTCAACATCCTACTGCTCTGGGTAGCACCAAACCTGGAATGGCCTTTGTTCCGAAGATTGACCCTGACAAACATGAGACATGAGATACTTGTTCTTGCGGTGGTATCCGAATGTGTCCGCATCAGCTTCTGCATGCTCCTGATTGGTGCCTCACCTCTCCTTCTTCAGTCACCGAGCTCAAACTGTCAACACTACCCTCTGTTTTTGCACTGTGACATGTTTCCGTCCTCCTCTCTCTCTCTCTCTCTCTCTCTCTCTCTCTCTCTCTCTCTCTCCTCTTTCTCTGGAGGCAACATTGAAAGCAGATCAAGGACGCGCTGAAGGCTGAGAGAACACCTGGACCCATTGCTCGTCCTTTTTAGCGATTCGCCCACTTCCTTGCTCATATATATATATATATATTTGTTTTGTAATAGAGTCTGATGTCATCATTCACTTACGTGTCTTTTTTTTTGTCTCTCTGGAGCGTCGACTGCAGCTCACTGGTTTTTGACCCTCCGTCATGTTATGACTTGGTCTCGTAATTATTTTTTTAACAACTCTTTTGATTTGAAGCTTTTTGCATCCCTCCAGTGTTAACTCCAGCTAATTGGTTTTGAACCTCTGTCATATTATTAAGGCCTGGTCATGTACCTTGTAAATACTAAATGGACTGTCCACTCTGACCGAGCATCTATCACGTGCGCGGACATGTCAATGTTCTCCTCCTCGATGGCTTGTTTATAATTTCGATCCGGCTTTTCTCTATCCATTAAAGACCTGATCCTCAATAGGCTGACCGGCCGCTTGCCAAAGACCGCTTCCCCTCTTGCTCCACCTCTGCAACAGCTCCCCCAGAATGACTGGTTATACAGCTTAGACCACCAGTACTTCCTGAAGCCGTGCCCGTTAACAAGCCACGATTTTAGGAAATGTACGGGCCACTACAGGAGCGCCCAAATTCATCCGACTAGAAACATTTCTACTCTATTTTTTCCCATGGCCTATAGCTGGGCCAAGTACTGGTGGTTTAAAGGTGGGTGGACCGCCCACCCGGTACCAGCACCTACTTCCACTAAGAACAGCCTTGCGCTGGTTTGTGCCCAAGCTGGGCAGCCTAGGGATACCCCGATGGCAGGTTCTGGGTTCAACGGTAGGCAATATTTACCCATAGGGCCATAGTAGTTTTTCCACAATGTACCACAAAAAAATTGGATGCGCAGCCTAAAACCACACCATCATTCTTCCATACACAAGTCAGGATCATTTGTCAATCGTGAGATCAATTGTGTCATCAAATGACAATGCATTAGGACAGCGCCATTCAAAAGAATGACCAACTTCATGACTGTGAAGATGTACCACACCTGAGTCATGTGGGGGCCAATGGCTCTCATCAATGGCCCATCCTTCCATATGCATGTTGTCAGTGTTTCTGACTGTCGTGGTCATCGCCATTTGATCCACACACACACACACACACACACACACACACACACAGAGAGAGAGAGAGAGAGAGAGAGAGAGAGAGAGAGAGAGAGAGAGAGAGAGAGAGAGNGAGAGAGAGAGAGAGAGAGAGAGAGAGAGAGAGAGAGAGAGAGAGAGAGAGAGAGAGAGAGAGAGAGAGAGAGAGAGAGAGAGAGAGAGACTGCAGTCCCACTACCGGCTAGCAGGACCATCCATGGCCCACATCCATGTTCATGGTCTTGTCCAGGATCTCTTTTTCGATGTTTTTCCCCTTTACGTTTCTTCTTTCCCCAGGATACCATTCCTCGCACAGGATGCTGCCAATGTTTATCAAAGAAAAGCGGGCTACATTACAAACCCACGGCCTAAGCGAGAAACGCGGATTGCATGACAGACATGGGTTATGTGTCAACCATGGGTTATGAGACAAACACCGGCTTACAAATGAACATCGAACTCCCACTATCTTATCATTGAGCTCTCAACTCCTAGTCCGAACAATTACAGAGACAAAAACAGGGCTAACATCATGCTTTGCCTGCAAAAAAAGTACTTAGGTAATGTAAGGCACAATTGGCTGACACTCTCAAATGTCCATGCCGCCTGATCTTTCTTAGGTGGTGAATCACGTCGACCAATATTCTGCTTAGTAAACTAGCATCCTGAATGCATGAACTGAAAGCCCCCCCCTCTTCCTTCCATGAAAGGAAGGACAACCCTCTTACTCCACTGGAATGCAGATGACTAAAAAGAAAAGAAAGAAGCCTGCATCTTCCAGCCCCTCCGCCTAAATGCAATGAATACAGGATGCACACACAGGTGCACAAACTCAACGCTTTCGCACACCCACCCACGCGTCCCCCCCCTTGTGCCCCCCCCCCACAAAGTTGCTGGGTTCTGCCCACTGCTTTGTGCTGCGTGTTGCCTGGTCAGTGCTCATATCCTCGATGTCTGAAAATTTGGGTTTGCCTGATGAAGATACTGTGGCTTCCTATACCCTCGTGTTTGTGCCGGGCTTCATACCATTGGTAAACATCCAAATTCTCCTGCGCGACTTGCTATCGGCGTTGAACAAGTTCGTCTGCGTTGACTTTCTATCGGTGTTGACCAAGTCCGCCTGCATGACTTTCTATGACCGATAGAACTCATTTTGCAGTAATGTGGAAGGTTCCGCATTGCAAACAATTCGCTTCGCAATGGGCTGCATTCACACACACACACACACACACACACACACACACACACATTCTAGTCTAGATCTGATTTTTGAACCTCTTTCTCCTCTGGCAGTTGAATGTACTCTTCATCTGGTAGAGGCTCATTTTGAGCTAGGTCTTCTGTCCATTCTTCTTCCTCTCCCTCCTCTTCACGCTCCATTTCTGCAACCAGAAAACAAACACAATGACCAGAAAAAGACATCAACAATTTGGAGGATGGAATAGCCGGGTTGCGTAGGTGTAACATAAATAGGCATTGTACAGGGGGTGAGCTGGCCGGGGTGGTAGCGGGTTGGTGACGTAATCTCACTGAACAAGAACTGTTGGCAGCCGTGGTGTAGATGGGGAGAGACAGAGGATCTGAAAAGACTACTGGAAAATGCTATGGAGATTGGGGCCTCGAGAACTATAACAATCCCAAGAAACACTGAGAAATAGTGGGAGTAGGTTCAGGAATTGGGAGATCAGGGAAGGTATAGGTAAGTAAGGGGAGTCGGGGGGTGGCAACAGCAAAGCGGGGGAACAGGGGAATCAAGGAGAATGTAGGTAAGATGGGCTCCATCAAGATGACTGCAAGGCCTGGCGGCTGGAGAGGCGTCCGTGGAATTGGGGCCAACCCCTCCTGGATCACATATAATGGGCGCCTCGGTACGTAGACCTGTTTCCGGCCACTATATGCACCCAGGGAAAGGATAAGCAGATGGCTGCCACGGGGCCCCTTCCAGCCCCCCCGCAGAGGGTCTCAGGCAGCGAGGGGATTGAGCTGATTACCTCTCTTCTGCATTCAAACAATCTTGTGGTCTGCTGGCTCATGATGAGCAACTGGACTGATGGCCCTCAGACTAGAAGGGGGCGCATGTGTATTAAAAAAAAAAAAGAAGAAGAAACTGAAGCGAACTCACCAGCCGGTCTGGCTCAGTTGCTGGATCCATGAACTGTTGAAATGCAGACCTGAGTTCAAATCCAGATGGAAGTGGATGGATGAAATTCTTGGATTACCTGACTTGGAAGCAGGTAAGGAACTGCACTGTTGCTCCCCAGAATAGAATGGATCCAGGACAATAAGGCCCAGTTCTTTTCTTTTTATTTTCTTTAAATAAAGAAGCTGTCTTCTCCTTTTTTTTTTTTTTTTTTTTTTTTAACATACTCACGAGACTCCCATCCTACAGCAAGGAAAATAAGAGAGAGCGAGATGACAAAAATCCAGAAAGCAAAATCACATTGAGAGTCAGCAAGTCCAACGCTGTCCAGAAAGCAGATATGAACTGATATTCCACCAACGGAGAACCAACGCACTGAATCCGAATGTCAATGAGAGCATAGTCTCGCCACCACCAACATATGTATCCAGAGTCCTTCCTCCTACTTGGCGCTCTGCACCCAGACTACTATCACACAGCCTACTAGCAGCCTATGAATTGACAATGCATCCAGTTGACGTCATCAGCAGAACCGAAGTACATGACGATGTCAACCCTTGTAGACCATCGCCAAGACCACGTACGTGCACTGCACTCACATCATCAACCTCATCTCTCTCTCTCTCTCTCTCTCTCTCTCTCTCTCTCTCTCTCTCTCTCTCTCTCACCCACGTCTTCACCCTCAAACACGAAGACCACCACCACCTCCACTGGCTAATCCAAGCCAAGCCCGGCTACAAGGGCTGGCTATGGCGCTGCCCTCAGCGGCACCCTCTTCCTCTCGACGCCCGCACGCGCCTGCACACTTGCGCTAGCGCAGCAGCCCGCGAGCGCTTGCTCCAGCAGCGCTGCTGCATCTACAGGTGAGTACCCGAATGTCCACTCCAGAGCCCAGCCCTTTCCTATATGGAAAGTGGCAGGCTCTTTCTGCTTGCTGCCCGCGTGAGACCGAGTTTCCTTGTAGCTTGAGTCTCGGTCAAAGTGTCTGCGCCCAGGCCCGTTCAGACAGTGGCCTGGGACCGAATTGGTTAGGCATGCCCAACCGCCCAGGCACAAACGTGCGGTGCTCCCTGCTTCGACCACATTGCTGGAAGACCCTGGAAGGCTCACGAGTATTTTGGATTCTCTCAAGCAAGGGGGATGTAACCAACTAAAGCATGGCAACTGTTTGGCACCCACCAATATGTGCAACAATTGACGAACTCGGGGCACATTGGGGTTCAGGGGGGCCGCCTTCACGTAGGGCGGGCACGCGCCTGCTGCAAGGAGTTAGCCAAGGGGTAGACCCTCACACTCCCTCCTCCTTTACTTCGATAGTCAGTCCTCTGAGAAGTTACACGGCAGGCTTCTTCCCTTTCAAATTCCGTTCATAAGTTGAGATAATTTGAGGAGCAGTCTTCATTAACTCCTCTCTTGTGAACCACCAACCTTCTTTAGGACTAGTATGATATCGGAACCGCACTCAATACTGCATCTGTGGTTTCGGAGGGCGTCCACTGCCTGGAGACTTGGGCACAGGCATCAGATTGTGCTCAACAATATTGTCAATGTCCACATGTCCGTCCATGGTTGGGGGCAGCATTGATCTTCTTGAGGAAAACTGTTCAGTTTCAGCGAAGGGTGCCAACTTAGATGCATGGAAAACAGGGTGTGTACGAAGGTGACCAGGAATGCGAGTAACATATGATCATATTATGGTGGACCATCGGGTTGATCTCCTACTATGTCCAGAATTTCCCCAGGCCCAAATTACTGTGGCATCAGTTTGCGTGAGATTCCCAACTCTTGTCCCAACTTGGATGATTTTACCCAGGCTCGTTCACCTACCTGAAACGCAGATTGTTGCCAGTGTCTGTTCTCAGATGCAACCATGTCATCTTGAACTTTCTTGATGTGCTCTACAACCTGCTGCAGCATCTGTTCATACTGGACAGCAAACTCTATTGCTACCAGGTGCTGCAGTTGGCTGGCTTTCAGGCAACAGGAAATCACGAGCAGATCTGGGCTTCCAACCAAGATGCAGCTGGTTGGGGGTCTTACTAGTAGGGTTGTGCACAACATTGTTGTACAGGCTGGCCATGAGAGGTAACTTCTCATCCCAATCATCTTGACTTGGCTTAATAGAATGCCAAAGCAAGTGCTGCACCACCCGGTTCATCTGCTTGGCCTGTCCATTTGACTCAGGGTGGTTCCCTGATGTCATTTGCAATCGGATGCCCATCTGTGGGGTTGTACTTTGCCACAGTTCGCTAGTGAATCTGGCATCCTTGTCGCTCACAATAGACTTAGGGAGACCGAAGTCACGTACCCAGTTGTCCATGAATAGCTTGATGACGTGGTCAATCCTAGTTGTCTCAGGCATAGCGATTAGTCTAGCTTGCCTAGTGAACCTGTCCACAACGACGAAGATGTGATGTTTACCGCTTTTGCTGGTCGCAAGAGTATCCATGAAATCCATGGAGACACTCTGACCAGGACCTGCAGGTATAGGCAAGGGCTTAATAAGCCCAAGCGGTGCCTGGGTCCGCAGCTTGTCCCGTTGACAAACTTGACAAGTCTCTACACACTTTTTCCCATCCTCCATTATTGAGGGCCACCAAAATTTCTGCACTAAGTTTGCAGTCGTCTTTTTATAGCCGAAATGTCCGGTTGCATCATGACACTCGCCTAAAAATAAACTACGCAAAGACTCTCTATTAGGAACACACAAACATTTATTCCCAACCTTCTCAAGCAATAGCAAGCCATAAGCCACCCCAAACTCATCGGAAGTACCCTTGTCTTTAGCTTTCAGTTTGTGGATGATCTCAAACATGACAGTGTCCTCTTGATAGGCTTCCACCATAAATAGTTACATCATCAGAAATCCCAAACTCAGTCACTAGCATGCCCAAATAGTCTCGCCTACGCGATAGTGCATCAACCACTTTGTTGTACTCTCCCTTTCGAGGGTCGAGCTTGAAGTCGTACATATCTATGACTTCAATCCATCTCTTAAGTGCGTCGGAGAGCACGGGCTGTGTCTTGATCCAATGCAGCATCTCATGGTCAGATCCCACATAAAAGAATCTGCCTAGTGTCTCCAATGGACCAGCGCTCTGTAGAGGGCATAAAACTCACGGTCATACCTGGACTTGCTAATTTATGAGATGGCATCTTTTTGCTCATGTACTCGATCGGCCTCAACTTTTTCCCCTCCTCCTGCTCAAGGGTCGCGCCTATGTCGTGTTTGCTGGCGTCTGTGGTCACAACAAAGGGTTGTTCAGGATCCGGAAGTTTGAGCACTTCATAGTGCGTCAGGGCATACTTCAATCCATTGAAGGATGTCTCATACTCTTTTGTCCCCTCCCATGGGGTGTCAAGGCGCGTGAGGTCAGTTAGAGGGGAGACTACAATACTATAATCCTTGATAAATGGGTGGTAGTAGCCTGCCATCCCCAAGAATAACCTCACCTCAGTCACAGACGGAGGTTTGCGCCAGTCACGTATGCTGGCCACTTTGGCATCATCCAACCTCAATCCATCCGCGAAAATCGCATGACCCAGATACAAAGACCTTCGTGCAACCAAATTCACATTTCTCCAAGTTAACCTTGTACTGGTGTTGTCTTAGGAACCCTAACACTGTTTTCACATCCTCAGTGTGCTCCTCTACAGTCCTACTAAAAAGATAAAGATATCGTCGAGGTCCACGATGATAAACTTGTCTAAGTAGTCATGAAAGATCCGATTCATTGCGTGTTGGAACGTCCCAGGAGCATTGCATAGGCCAAAGGGCATCACAACGAACTCATACAGACCGTACCTGGTTTGAAAGACGGTTTTGTGCTGGTCCTCACGTCTAATAGCAATCTAATGGTATCCGGACATCAGATCTATCTCAGCACAGTACCGACATCCCTGTTGTCTACCCAAGAGTTCGGCAATGCATGGTAGGGGCTCCGGGTTCTTAATGGTGATGATATTGAGGCCCCTATAGTCAATGCATATCCTTAGTGTCCCCCTTTACTTTGGGACAAATAAAATTGGCGCTCCGTAGGGGGATGCACTTGGCCAAATCCAACCCTTCTCTGTGAGATCCTTGAGTTGGTGACGGAGTTCATCTAACTCCGCAGGAGACATCCTATAGATCCGCCCTCTAGGTACTTCGCTATCGGGGACGACTTCTATCGCGTGGACAATCTCCCTTTCTACCACACCCCTAGGCTCCTCAAAGAGGTTTGAATATTGTGCAACGACTGC